AATAAATTTGTACTGTAAATGGGAAATGTATGTATGAACTAACTTGAAAATTAATGACTTTAATAACATCAAATAATTTTTAAATTGGAATGGAGTACATTTTATAAAGCTATAAAACTTCCATACGCCCGCAATGCCATTATAAAATAGTATGCATTAATGTTATAATGAAGATTGTATTTCTCCCCTTACCAGTGGTGATTCATAACTAGAAACATTTCACAGTCTGCACTACCTTGTGTATGACTATAGCTGTCTACATAAAAATTCAGAGCATTAATGTGTTGCAATAGAGACAGTTATACTTTCATTTCTCGTGGTAAAATAAAAATTCTTTTGTTATTCTTATTCAATCAAAGTTTGAAATATTCAGTTCATATATCAGCTGCTGCAGCAGGTTGCTATTGTGTTAAAGCTATAATATCACTGTGTCATTAAAAACTTATGAATTTATTATAATTATTTCTTAAAGGATCCATTATAAAATGTTATTGTTTAGAATCACATTCACACATAAATCTTGAAGTTATGGTCAGCTCAAGTAGATACTGTATATAAAAAAGAAATTGTAATCACCCCACCAAAATACTTCATAGTCTTAATGAAACAATAATCAGCTTATATAGATCTAACTGTCATGAAAATTACTAGCAACTACGTTACTATGAAGTTTTATAGTCTAATTGAAACTATTATATCAGCTCTAACTGTCAATAAAACTGACACTATAGTAAATGTAATCAACGAAAATCATATTATTGACATAGATCTAATGATCATAAACAGCCTACCTGTTCTGAAACTGCTAAAATGATGAAGTTCTTATCAAAAACTTAAATAGAGCTAATAAAAATTCCCTCCTGATGCATAGATATCATTCTTTCAGACAGATCAGTCAAGTTTCAATAGAGATCCGCGAGTGTTCCGCGTTGATCCGCATTTCAGCCCGATCCGCATTTGATCCGCGTGGATCCGTATTTCAGGCAGGCCCCACTCTAGCTATACTCTCAGTCACGCCCCGTCTGTCCCTCTGTCTGTATGTCTGTCCTCGTACGTCACCCCTATTTATGCGTAGATCTAATACGGTAGATAGATACTATGCATTACCAATGCAATTTTCAATTTTTCATTGAAAGTGGGAGCGGTCACAGTAAAATAAAAATGGCAACCAACACACTGGGAGAATTCATGAGCTTTCTAGCAGCAATATAAGGCAGATACCGTCCAAAGACTTCCCCAGCAGCTACAGAAGGTTTTAAATTCAATTAATAACCTATGAAGCTCGTCTTTACTGATGCAATTGCTATTAAAACTGTGAAAGTCAATCAAGCTTTTTCTCAGTCATCTTAATATTGGATAATATTATATCTAAAGCTAAGTAAAGCATCTTTACAGACATTTATAGGCAAGAAATGTGTATGTGAAACTAGAAGACTAAAAGTTTATTAATTTTATCAGCAGCGTTAAACTTTCATCATGTAAATCATGTTTGCTATGCCTAAATCATGATGCATGCTTTGAAATCATCGGGAGTAGATTATAGATGGATAGATCCAGTGCCATAATTGCTTTGCTAGCTTAGGCTCGCCCCTTAATGTTCTACATTGCTTCTAGTTAAAAATAAAATAATAACTATCATGCTGCAGCAAGTAAAAGGTGTGGCTGAATATAGGCGTGCATGCATGGATATTAGAGTAATTTCATTTACTCTATTATCTATGATGCAGAGGAGGTAGGACACGGTTGACCTTTATCTAATAATTACAAAGTTCAATTGCATAACTTACATTCCTTAGCACCACGTGATCAATAATGGCGGAATTAGTGCCTCTACCTCCAGCCAGAATACCCAGAGAGCCCAGAGTTCACTGCCCGTCGGACAGTGAAGGTAGTAGCAGTCCACGTAGCATTTCCAGCTCAAGCAGTAATAGTGATGAAATTGTCGACATAATAAGGATTGGCCAAAGTTTTAGTTATACTATACCCAGTTTTAGTGTAATCACTGTGGAGCTCAGGCAAGTTGTGATTTGTGTTGGGGAAAAGAAAGTGGTGAAACACATAGACATATTTCTTCGTGAAACGCAGGATATTACAGTGAGAGTGCCATCTTCAATCAAAGTTTTGGAAAGCTGCTACGTTAAGGTAAATATAATGCATGCATATGAACCATAAGCTAAAGTTCATTGTATATTTGTACAATACAGATATCTGAATTTGCACAAGCAATCGACATACAAGGGCTTTCAACTGGGTCACCAGAGACTGTGTGTGTGATATGGAAATGGAATTGGTTGGTACCGGAAGTAGCATCTGTGAGTGATGATGAGAATGTAAAGTCAGTGTTAACTTTGGATGACTTGTTCGCTGTCGATTCTGATCCAGAGGAAGATGCTAGAATTACAACACAGTCATTGGTATTTAAGTGTATTGGAACCACAAAGTGTAAGAAGTATCAGGAAGCTTTACAAGTAGTGCGTAATCTTATGTCTGAAGGACAAACTGTACCAGTTAGACTAATTCATGAGCGATATAAT